TTTGAGTGTTTGTGAGGTTGTGTGTGTGGGCGTGTGAGAGTGGTTTGTGAGGATCTGTGTGTAGATGTGTGAGCGGTGTGTGTGTGAGTGTTTATGTGAGTGTGTGTGAGTGTGTGTGTAAAGGGGTTATTGAGGGTTTGTGAGTGGTTGTTGTGAGGGGTTTGTGTGAGGGTGTGTTTTAATGTTTGTGAGGTTGTGTGTGTAGGCGTGTGAGAGTGGTTTGTGAGGATCTTTGTGCGGATGTGTGTGAGGGTGTGTGTCCGAATGGTTATGTGATGGCGTGTGGGAGGGTTTTTGTGATGGTTTGTGTGAGGAGGTTCCTGAGTGCGTATGTGCGCGTGAGTGTTTGAGGTGGTGTGAGAAGGATTGTATGAGGTTGTGTGTCAAGCTGTGTGTGAGAATGTGTGTGAGGTGTGTCTGTGAGTGGGTGTTTGAGGCGTTCGTGTGAGGGTTTGAGTGAGGGTGTGCGTCAGGATGTATGTGAGGCGTTTGCGTGAGAGCTGCGAGCGAGTGCGTGGGACGGTGTGTGTGAGGATGCGTTTGAGGGGTACACACCTCTGAAGGTGTGTGAGAGTGTATGTGTGTGTGAAGTTGTGTGTGAGGGGTTGTGAGAGGGGATGTGTGAAGGTTTATGTGAGGGTGTGTGAGTGTGTGTGTGGGGGGGCTTTATGAGAGGATTGTGTGTGTGCTTGAGGGAATGATAGAGGGGTTATGTGAGGATGTGTGAGTTTACGTGTGAGGATATGTGTGAGGGGTGCGTGTGTGTGTGCGTTTGAGTGGTGCGCGTGAGGGAATGTGTGATGATGTGTGTGAGGGGATATTTGACGTTTGTGTGTGATGGGTGTGTGCGAAGGGTGTGTGTAATATTTGTGATGGTGCATGTGAGTGGTGTGGGTAAGTGTTTGTGTGAGTGGTTGTGAGAGAGCTGGTGTGCTGATGTGTGTGAGGGTGTCTTTGACGATGCGTGTGACTTGTTGGTGTGAGGGTGTGTGTGAGGGTTTGTGTGTGACCGGGAGGTGTCTGTTTGTGAGAGTGTTTGTAAGCGTTTTTGTGTGAGGGGATAGGTGAGTGTTTGTGTGAGCGTGCAGGTGAGGGTCTGTACGAGGGTCTGTGTGAAGGGGAAAGGTTGTGAGAGTCATGAGTGGGTGTGTGAGGGTGTGTGTGTATGACAGGGTAATAATATTAATAATAATAATAATCCTTGCATTTCACATAGTGATTTTCAGTGTTTCTCGACTTTTCAAAGCGTTTCACAGAATATAATGTGAGGTGAATTGACCGAACATTTGTGGATAAAACGCGGCAGCGAATTGCGCACAGCAGCGTCCCTACAAACAGCCGTGAATTCAAAATGAACGATTTAATATTGGTTTTGTTTATTGGAGGGATCATTTTCAGGCGTGTGGAGTAAGGAAACTTGCCCAAGGATTCATCCTGCCTGGCATTGAACCGAGGTGTCTCGCATGCAAGGCGAGTGCTCTAACCACTGAGCTCCAGGACTCCACATACAGGTTATGTGTATGAAGGAGTGTGCGAGGTTGTGTTTGAGGGTGTGTGTGTGAAGGTGTGCGTGAGGAAGTGTGGGAGCTTGTATGTGAGTGTCTGTATGAGGGTCTGTGTGAGGGGCTTTGTGAGGGGTTGTTTGAGAGTGTGTGTGGGAGTGTGTGTGAAGGTATGCGCAAGCGTGTGTCTGAGAGGGTGTGAATGTGCGAGTGATGCGTGTTTGAGGGTTAAATGTGTCATAAATATATGTGAGATGTGTGTGTGTGAGTTGCGTTTGTGGGTGAGGTGTGTATGATGGGGTGTTTGTAAGAGGTGTGAGAGAGAGCTGTGTATGGTAAGCCGTGTGTATGTGAGAGGTGTGTGTTTGAGGGATTTGTGTGAATTGCGGTTGACGGTTTTGTGTATGGTTTGTGTGTGATGTGAGTGTGAGGTGTCTGTGTGAGTTATATTCGTGATTAGTAGTGTGAGGTGTGTGTGTGTGTATGAGGGTGTTGCGTTGATATGCTTATGTGAGGGATGACTCGATATGTGTACGTGTGAGGAAGTGTGTGGAGTGTATGCGTTGAGATCGAGATGAATGCAAATCTATTGACACGACTTCAAGGTGAGAATGGGAGATATGTACCTGGGCTGATGTTGTCTATAATCTGTCTCCAGACTGTGTTCTTCAAAGGCCATTTGTACTTGGCCACAGGCAGCTCAGCCTCACACACTGACAGATCAAATCCCTCGTCACTGACCCTGAAATATGACACGATCACATTATATAGTGAAACTGCACCTTGTGGTTGGTTTGTCGGTTCAATTCTGGGATATTTGGTAAAGATCATTTCATACCTTCTGTTGCCAGCAGCTTCCTCCTAATGTAATCAAACAAGACAGATCTTCGCTCGCACTGAGTCAACACCGACAACAAAAAGTTACATGTGGACTGCGTCTCTCAAGTCCCAATTCAATCTCTAAACTCTTTATCAATCACAATTAGATTGTTTGCTCCAGAATTTTGTGTAACTGTGACTGAGCGTCATTATATTGTCATCTCTTTACCTGCAGGAAGGTGGGAGCGTCTTTTCCCATCTGTGTCTGTAACTCGGAGAGTTGTTGTTCAACAGAATTTAATTTGCACTGAATCTCTCAGATTTGCCTCCATTCGCTTTAAAATCTCCTCCTCTCGTTGTCTGAGATCTCGCATCACTCGCTGCTCTCTGTCAGTCAGACTCTGGTGCAATTTAGCAAACTCACCCGTGACGTGGTTCTGCAGACTGTTCACCTGTTCCTGCAAATGTCACACATTCAAACATACATTACACACAGTAACCAGAGACCCTGAGACATCACACCGTGTACACACATTGACCAGAGACACCGAGACATCACACCGTGCACACACATTAACCAGAGACACTGAGATATCACACCGTATACACACATTGACCAGAGATACCGAGACATCACACCGTGTACACACAGTAACCAGAGACACTGAGACATCACACCGTGTACACACAGTGACCAGAGACACTGAGACATCACACCGTGCACACACAGTAACCAGAGACACTGAGATATCACACCGTTACACACAGTAACCAGAGACACTGAGACATCACACCGTGTACACACAGTAACCAGAGACACTGAGACATCACACCGTGTCCACACAGTAACCAGAGCTGAGACATACACCGTGTACACAGTAACCAGAGACACTGAGACATCACACCGTGTACACACAGCAACCAGAGACACTGAGACATCACACCGTGTACACACAGTAACCAGGGACACTGAGACATCACATTGTGTACACACAGTAACCAGAGACTCTGAGACATGACGTTATGTACAAACAGTAACCATAGACACTGAGTCGTCACAATGTGTACACACAGTAATTGGAAACACTGAGACATCACAACGTGTACACACAGTAAATTGAGACACTGAGATATATTTTGTGAAATCTCACCTTCAGTTGTGAAATCTTTTCTTTCTGTTTGGCTTCTGCTTGTAAACTAGTTTCCTTCCTCTGTGTGAGAGAAGCTAAGGAGGATATCAGTTTATCCTGGAATAAATACACAGAATTAACCTGTTTGAAGGTGAAAATATCAGTTGGATCAGGTATCATCCTTCTTGAGGAGTATTCTTACCTTAAAAATTTCAACAGCTTCTTCAATGGGTAGGAAGCTGTGGCCTCTGTGTTCCTGCTCATGACTGCAAACTACACACAGAAATTTATTGTCAGATTCACAGAACAGCTTCAGTTCCTCCCGGTGTTTCTCACAGTGAAGTTTATTTTCCGTCTGTGTCGGGGTCAGGATCAAATTTCGTGCTTTCTCTGCTAGACTCGCCAAGGCCCAACTGGCTCTCAGGTTCTTTTCTGGAAAGATCTCCTGACAAACAGTACAGTAGTTTTCCTCCTGCTTTTCCCAGCTCCGGGTGACACAGGAGCGACAGAAGTTGTGGCCACACCCCAGGCTAACAGGATCCGTGAAGAAATCCAGACAAATCGGGCAAATGATCTCCTCGGTCCAGATCTCAGCCGGGAGACTGGAAGCCATTTTGATCCTCAGCACTTCCTGACATAAACTGGTTTCAGTTTCGGTCTGAGTGTGTAGGCGGCTCCCATTCACTGAGCTGACAAAACCCGCTCCTACAGTCTCTTGTGAAATCATGGATTGTGACTTTGATCCCAAGAGAAGATGAGAAAACCTTGTACAATGACAAGGACACCCGAGCAAGGAAGGCGTTGGACTATGAGGAGGGGTGGTGTGCATGATGGTTGGGGCGGGGAGGGTTGGGAGGATGATAAAATAGCGCCATCAAATGTGTTAATTTGAGGTTGTTTGAAAGATCTCGTATCTCTGAGATGGTTTTCTGGTGCGCGACATGTGCAATGGCTGAAATCTCGCACGGTGAGGCAGATATTGGGATGGGTGGGGGTTGATGTGAAGAGTGAATGGTGTGGCCGGGTTAGTTGGGTTGAAGGAGGTGGCGGAGGAAGTGCCTTGTAAAGCAATGAGGGCTTTTGAAATTGAAGGCACGGTGGACGACAAAGACCTTCAAACGGGACTTGAAGGAGATGAGGCAGAGGGAATGCGGGTATAGAGTTCCAGAGTGTGGGGACAGAGATGCTGAATGTCCGACCTCCAACGGTGGGGTGGGAATTACGGGTGACTTGAAGCAGGCCGGTGTCTGCCGAGCGGAGGGAACAGACAGTCTGATATGCGGTTATGAAGTTGGTGAAGTAGAGTGGAACAAGATCGTGGAGGTGACTTGAAGGAACAACACGCCTGATCTCTGTGTAACAGGGCTGTACTCCATATAATTTCGCTGAGCTCTGCATTGACGCCTGGTCTATATAAAAAACGCCAAGTGTCTGCATAACAGGTTTCAGCTCTGCATGACGGGGCGGATCTGTTTATAACAGGTCTGGTCCCTGTATAACAGTCCTTGTCAGTGTATAACAGCCTGTTCTCTGTCTAACTGCCATCGGCTCTTTACAGCATGTATGGTCTCTGTACAAAATATCTGCACAGTGTGTAATAGACCTGATGTCTGTACAGCAGCTCTGGTCTCTGCATAAAAGCTCTGTTCTCTGTATAATAGCCATAATCTCTGTGAAACAAGCCTGGTCTCTGCATAACAGGCCTGACTTTATAATAGTCACCATCTATGTGGCTCTGGAACTCTATCCCCCAGTGCCTTCGCTTTGCCTACTCCCTTTCCTCCTTCAAGGCCGGTCTCAAGACCTTTCTCTTTGACCGTGCCTTCAGCTCCCCTCTCGACTCTCTACCCTCTCCTCGCTCCCAATCTTCCTCCCCTCACCCTGACCATTTCCCCCTTGCTCGCGTCCTGACCCAACTGTAGAGCGCCTTGGGACATCCTCCCGACGTGAAAGGCGCTCAATAAATGGAATCTTGTTGTTGTTTTGTTGTTGTTGTTGTAACTGTCCTGATCTCAGCATAAAAGGCTAGTATATGTATATTGGCTTGGTCTTGTATAATAGGCTAGTTATCTGCGTAATGGTCATGGCCTATTTGAAGCTGGCCTGGGCTCTGTATAACTGATCTGGTTTCTATAGAACAGCACTGGTCTCTGTATGACAAGCCTGGTCTTTGTAAAGTAGCGTGGTTTCTGAATAACAGTCCTTGTCTCTGTAAGACAGACCTAGTCTATGTACAACAGGCCTGGTATCGGTGAAACAAGCCTTGTCTCTGTACTATTGCAATGTTCTCTGCATAAATGTCCAGGTCTATGTGTAACAGCCTGATCTCTGTTTAGCAAGCCTTATATCTGTAAAACTCCCTGGTATTTGTTTGGATGGCCTTGTCTCTGTATTAGAGGCCAGATTCCTGTAGAACTTGCATAGTCTTGGTATAATAGCCCTCGTCTCTTTATAACAGGGTTGCTCTCTGTATAACTGGCCTGGGCTCTGCATAACTGGTCTAGACTCTGTATGTTCTCTCTATAACTAGCCTATGCCTACATAAAAGCTGGTCTGTGTATAACTGGCCTGGCCTCTGTATTATCTCCGTATAAGTGGCCTGATATCTGTGCAAAAGCCTGTTCTCGGTTTAACAGCCCTGGAAATAGTGTGACAGGTTTGTCTATGTATAATAGGTCTTGTCTGTGTACAAAATGCAAGTTCTCTATATTATAGCCTGGTGTCTCTATAACAGAGGTCGAGTTATACAGTTCTAGTTTCTGTATAACAGCCTTGTCTCTGCATAGTAGCATGGTCACTGCATAACAGGCCTGGTCTCTCTATAACAGACCTGGTCTCTATATAACAGGTCTGGTCTCTGTTTAACTGGCCTGGGCTCTTTATAACAAGTCTGTTCTGTATATGAAAGCTCTGGTATCTGTACAACAGGCCAGGTCTCTGTACATCAGGCTTGTCTCTGAATAGGAGACCTCTAATCTGAACGACAGCTTGGACTCTGTGTAATAACCTTGTCTCTTTAAAACAGTCTGGTCTATTTGTTACAGGCCTGGACTATGTAAAACCCACTGTTTCTGTGTAAAATGCCAGGTGTCTCCATGACTTGCCTGGTCATGCAATACTGGCCTGATACCTGTGGAACAGCACTGGCCTCTTTAAAAAAACTATGAACTCGCTCTAACAAGCTGCTCTCTTTATAACTGCCTTGTTTCTGTAAAACAAGCCTGGTCTTTGTATAACTGTCTGGTCTCTCGATAAGAATCTGGTCTATGTATACAATGCCTGGTCTCTGGGTAACATGCCTGGTCTCTCTACAATAGGCCTTATCTGTACATAACATGCCTGGTCTGTGTATCACAGGCGGTTCTATGTGTATCAAACTTTTATAATAGGTTTTGTCTGTTAGTAAAACGCTTGGTCTCTCTATGTAATGGGTTGCTGAGTATTTCAGACACCCGGGTGATCACGGTGACGGGATTGTGTGTGTGTGTGTGTGGGTGTGTGTGTGTGTGTGTCAGACACATATGGTTGGGGGCGATGCGGTGCCTGTTGTGGTTTAGGGTGTGAGGGCTGAAGTTGGAAATGTTTCTCAATCTGGCAGGCAGCGCACAGAGTGTGATCACTGCCCTCCCTCCACACACACACACACACACCTGCACTCCCTATACACACACAAACACAAACACAATGCCCTTCCTCTACGCACACACTGCCCTCCCTCCAAACACACACAGACAGACACCTGCACTCCCTACACACACACACAAACACAAACACACTGCCCTTCCTCCACACACACACTGCCCTCCCTACACACACACTGCCCTCCTTACAAATATGCACACTCACACTGCACTCCATACACACACACACTGCCTCCCTACACACACACACACACAACCCGGCACAGGCAGTGCACACAGAGTGGCCACTGCCCTCACTGCACCATAGTTAGCCTCGGTGAGAGGACAGATGGATTTCAGTCAACAACTAAAGCCTCGGCTTCTTGTTCTGCATCTGTCTCGCTGTTTGTTCAGAAAGACAGGAAACCAGGCGCTTGGGTAACTAACCACAGGGGATGTTCAGAGCTGAACCCACAGCGTCTTGTTTCTCTCTGCTGCTGACAGTCACAGCAAGAGAGCAAAGGGCAAAGCTACATGGAAATCAAACATAAATATACCATCAACACATAGCAGCAGCTCAAAATCTAACCGCTTGTTTCACTGACAATCGGACGATTGAGAATGTAGACTCGATGACAATCCTGTCAGTTTGAACTGTGAAACCATGTTGTGTTGAGTTCACTTGTGTTCCCAAATTTGCGGTCACCCACACAGCCCAGACCTGCAGTTTATGTCTTTATTAACGAAGAAACAGCCCCTCACAATGTCTGTCCCAGGTATCGATACAACAAACCCAGAATAACTTCAGACGTTCACTCCGTGGGAAGTTAATGTTGCAATACTATGTTGTCACCTTCACTCACAAAGTACACAGTTACTTCTCTTTAAAGTATATACTGCGACATGACTTGTGACGTCCTCCTGACTTGAAAGTCTCTATGTCAAATGCAAGGTGTATTATCCTGCAGGTTGGGGAACGGGAAGATGGGATTCATCGCAGTTGAATGTGCCGCAAGGTGATGAACTACCCACACACTTCCCCTCCTGCCCCTCCACACAAGTGCTGTGTCGGCTCGCACACAGCCTGGGACATGCAGCACACACACCACACACAGAGCCGCACACACAAACACAGCCTGACAGATCACACAAATACATACGCACACACAGACGGGACAGGCAGAGCGCATACACAGACCAGCACAGACATTCTGGGACAGACAGAGCACACACACAACCACAACACACCCACGCACATAAGCACCCCGGGACAGGCAGGGCATATACACACACACATACACACACACATACGCACAGCCCTTGACAGGTCGAGCACAAACAAACACACACACACACTGGTCACTCCACACACACAAACACACACAAAGCACGGGACCGGCAGAGCTCACAGTGTAGCCACTGCTCCCTCAGTTCCATAGTTGGCCTGAATGAGAAGTCAGAGGGTTTTGAGTGAATAACTAAAGCCTCGGCTTCTTGTTCTGCATCTGATTCACTGTTTGTACAGAACGACAGGAAACCAGGCGCTGGGTAACTAACCACAGGGCATATGCAGAGCTGAACTCACAGCGTCTTGTTCCTCTCTGCTGCTGACAGTCACAGCACGAGAGCAAAGGGGAAAAACTAAATGGAAATCAAACCTAAATATACCATCAACACACAGCAACAGCTCAAACTGGGGCCGTTTGCTTCACTGACAATCGGACGGTTGAGAATGTAGATTTGGTCTTTTGGGATCACAGTCAAAACCAACTGGTTTCACAAGAAGAGACTTGAGGGGTGGCTTTGTCAGCCTAGTGATTGGGAGCCGCCAACACAGTCACACTGAAACCTAATCCAGTTTCAATCAGGAAGTGCTGAGGATCAAAATGGCTTCTGGACTCCAGCGTGAGATCTGGACCGAGGAGATCATTTGCCCGGTTTGTCTGGATTTCTTCACTGATCCTGTTAGTCTGGGCTGTGGCCACAACTTCTGTCGCTCCTGCGTCACCCGGAGCTGGGAAAAGCAGGAGAACAACTGCTGTGCTGTTTGTCAGGAGACATTTCCAGAAAAGAACCTCACAGCCAGTTGGGCCTTGGCGAGTCTAGCAGAGAAAGCTCGAAAATTGTGCCTGAACCCGACACAGACGGCAGTTAACCTTCAGTGTGAGAAACACCGGGAGCAACTGAAGCTGTTCTGTGAAACTGACAAGAAATTGATCTGTTACATTTGCAGAGATGCGAAAGAACACAGAGGTCACAGCTTCCTGCCCATTGACGAAGCTGCTGAAATCTACAAGGTAATGATGCGCTCACGAGGGATTTATTTTGTTTCCGCGTCTGGTTTTCACATCAAGCACTTTTATTCTGTGCGTTTATTCCAGGATCAAACAAAGTCCTCCTTAGCTTCTCTGACACAGAGGAAGGAAACGGCTCTACAATCTGCAGCCAAACAGAAAGAAAAGATTTCACAAGTTAAGGTAAGTTGTGTTGGGGCTGATGTCTGGGCAATCAATGTTTCTTCGTTTACTGTGTGTTCACGGTGTGATGTCTCAGTGTCTCTGGTTACTGTTTGTACTCAGTGTGATGTCTCAGTGTCTGTGGTTACTGTGTGTGGACGGTGTGATGTTTCAGTGTCTCTGGTTACTTGGTGTACACGGTGTGATATCTCAGGTTCTCTGGTTACTGTGTGTACACAGTGTGATGTCTCAGTGTCTCTGGTTACTGTGTGTGGACGGTGTGATGTTTCAGTGTCTCTGGTTACTGTGTGTAAACGGTGTGATGTCTCAGTATCTCTGGTTACTGTGTGTAAACGATGTGATATCTCAGTGTCTCTGGTTACTGTGTGTGAACGGTGTGATATCTCAGTGTCTATGATTACTGTGTGTACACGATGTGATGTCTCAGTATCTCTGGTTACTGTGTGTACAGAGTGTGGTGTCTCAGGGTCTCTGGTTACTGTGTGTACACGGTGTGATGTCTCAGGTTCTCTTGTTACTGTGTGTAATGTTTGAATGTGTGACATTTGCAGGAACAGGTGAACAGTCTGCAGATCCACGTCACGGGTGAGTTTGCTAAAATGCACCAGAGTCTGACTGACAGAGAGCAGCGAGTGATGCGAGATCTCAGACAGCGAGAGGAGGAGATTCTAAAGCGAATGGAGACAAATCTGCGAGAGATTCAGTGCAAATTAGATTCTGTTGAACAACAACTCTCCGAGTTAACGGCACAGCTGGGAAAAGACGATCTCACCTTCATGCAGGTAAAGACATGACATTATTTTATAGTTCAGTAACGGTTATACACAGTCGGGAGCAGACAAACTAATTGTGTTTGATAAAGAGATCAGAGATTGTATTGGGACGTGAGATACTCTGCGCACATTTAACTTGTCTGTGTTGGTGTCTCGATATGAACTGACATCTGTCTGTGTTTGATTTCATTAGGAGGAAGCTGCTGCCAACAGAAGGTATGAAATGATCTTTAGCAAATATCCCACAATTCAACCCATAAACCAACCACAAGGTGCAGTTTCACTTTATACTGTGATCGTGTCTTATTTCAGGGTCAGTGACGAGGGTTTTGATCTGTCAGTGTGTGAGGATGAGCTGCCTGTGGCCAAGTACAAATGGCCTTTGAAGAACACAGTCTGGAGACAGATTATAGACAACATCAGCCCAGGTACATGTCTCCCATTCTCACCCTGAATCCGTGTCAATAGACTTGTATTCACCTGAATCCCAACACATACCCTCCACACACTCCCTCACACATACACATACCGACTCCTCACTCACATATGCACATAATCGCAACACCCTCCCACACACACACACACAACTCACACACACACGCTTTGCACACACACATCACACACACACACACAACTCTCACACACAACTCTCTCTCACACCTCACACACATCTGAAACATACACCCCTCACAGCACTCCTCAAACACAGCCCTCACACACACCACTCACACACCTCACAGACACCTCATCAACACCTATCGTAGACACACGTGTTCATGCCTCACACACTCACCTCTTACACACACCTGAAAGAATACACAACACACTCATATCTGACACACAAACCTCAGAATACTAGTAACGCACAAAACTCGCACAGAACGCTCACACACATCTCACACAAACCAAACATAAACTCTTTAACCACACCTGACACACACCCCTCAAACACACAACTCTCACATACGCGCTGCTTACGTTACACAGCTCTCTCTCACACCTCTTACAAACATCCCCTCACACACGCCTCACCCACAAACACACCTCATACACACACACATCTCACATACGTCTATTACAGACTTAACCCTGAAACACACGTCACTCACACATTCACACCCTCTCACGCACAGCCTCGCGCACACCTTCACACACACACAGTCACGCACACACGCACACAAAATAATTAACCTCACACAACCACTCACACAGCCCCTCACACACAGCCTCAAACAGACCGTCATAAAGACCCTCACATACACGCTCCCACACTCCCTCACGCCCACGTTCACACACACCCTCAAACACAACATCTCACACCCCCTCATACACACATCCTGTATGTGGAGTCCTGAAGCTCAGTGTTTAGAGCACTCGCCTTGCAAGCGAGACACATGGGTTCAATCTCAGGCAGCGTGAATCCTTGGGCAAGTTTCCTTACTCCACACAACTGATAAGAATCCCTCCAAAAAAGAAAAACAATACTAAATTGGTCATTTTAAATCCACGGCTGTTTGTGGGTCGCTGCTGTGCGCAATTCGCTGGCGCGTTTTGACCACAAATGTTCGGTCAATTCACTTCATATTATATTCTGTGAAGCGCTTTGAGACGTCGAAAAACACTGAAAAGCACCATATGAAATGCAAGGATTATTATTATTATTATTATTAATATTATTACCCTGTCATACACACACACCCCCACACACACACTCACACCTCTCACAACCCTTCCCCCCTCACACAGACCCTCGTACAGACCCTCACATGCACGCTCACCCAAACACTCACCTATCCCCTCAAACAAAAACCCTTACAAAACTCTCACACTCAGGCACCACCCGCTCACACACAAACCCTCACACACACCCTCACACCCAACAACTCACACGCATCGTCAAACACACCCTCACACACATCAGCACACTACACCTCTCACAACCACTCACACAAACCCTTACACACACCACTCACATGCAACCTCACAAACCTCACACATCCCTCAAACACACCCATCACACACAAACGTCACGTACTCCATCACACACATCCTCCCACACACCCTCACGCACACCACTCAAATATACCCACACATGCACCCCTCACACGCATCCTCAAACGTACCATCACACATTCTCACATAACCCCTCTCTCGTTCCCTCAAACACATACACAATCCTCTCAAACACACCCCACACACACACTCACACACACCCTCACACAAACCTTCACACATCCACTATCACAGCCCCTCACACACAACTTGACACATACATTCACTCTCACACACCCTCAGAGGTGTGTACCCCTCACACGCACCCTCACACCCCCCCACACACACCCTCACACGCACGCCTCAAACACCCACACACAGACACACCTCACCCACATCCTCACACGTAGCTTGACACACACGCTCATACAATCCCTCTCACACCACCTCAAACACTCACTCGCACATAACTCCTCACGAACCTCCTCACACAAACCATCACAAAAACCCTCCCACACACATTCACATAACCATTCACACACACCCCCTCACACACATCCCCACACAGTCCGTCACAAACCACTCTCACACGCCCACACGCAACCTCGCAAAACCTCAAACAGACCCTCACGCAAACCGCTCACATACACCCCTCAAAAACCCTCAAAATCCCCTTTGCACACACACTCGCACACACTCACATACATTCTTACACACACACCCCTCACACATCCACACACAAACACACACACACGTCCTCACATATCCCCTCACACATCCCCTCACACAGATCATGACACAATCTCACACATACACTCACACATATCCTCACACACAACAATCACACACACATTCCCACATACGCGATCACACACACCCTCACAAACAACCTCACACATCCTCACACACACCGTCGCACACACTCACAACCTCAAACACACACCCTCACAAACAGCCTCAAACACCCCGCTGACACGCTCACCCTTACACATCCACTCACACACACCCTCACAATTATTCGCACACACATCCACTCACACAAACCCTCACGCGGAAACTCACACATCCCATCACACAGCCTCTCACATACACCTTCATACAACCGCTCACACACCCTCCCCAACGCACATCCTCACACAAACCCTCACACACACACTCACACATACAGTCACACCGACTGTGACCCTCTGAGCTGGATTGTGTCCCCAGCTTTAGAAGTGTTCACACACAGTCTGAGCGCTCAGACGTCCCCTCACTCCACTTTGTGTTGTTTCTCTCTCTCAGCTCCGGCCTCTCTGACTCTGGACCCTGACACAGCGAATCCCTACCTCATACTGTCAGAGGACCTGACCAGCGTGAGAACTGGAGACACATGGCAGCAGCTCCCGGACTCCCCGAAGAGGTTTGATTACTGCTTCTATGTCCTGGGATCTGAGGGGTTCACATCCGGGAGACATTACTGGGAGGTGCAGGTGACCAACAAGACAAAGTGGGATGTGGGACTGGCCAGAGAGTCTGTCAACAGGAAAGGACAGATCATAGCGACACCAGAGAACGGATTCTGGGCTGTGAAGCTGCGAAATGGGAATGAATATGAAGCTCTGACCTCACCTCCCACCCGCCTGCATCTGAGAGAGAGACCCGGGAAGCTGGGAGTTTACCTGGACTATGAGGGGGAACAAGTGACATTTTACAACGCTGATAACATGTGTCATCTCCACACTTTCACCCTACTGTGCCCGTGGTACGTACCATTTGATTAAACCGTGTCTTGGTAAATCAAAAACGACTCCAGAAACAC